CCCCTATCACTGAATGTCTCAATTTGGGAGATTCTTATGTGTACTCTGCATCATTATAAAAAGCAGAAATTGGTGTCCAAGAGCTTATTACCTGAATACACCAAGAACTGAAAACTATTAATATACTTCACATAGTAGTGGAGTTGGTCTCATTTGATGATACACAGCTGCATATGTTTAGGTCTGAGTTTTCAAAACAAAATACATACATAATTTGAGCTGTCTCAACCGAGACATCTTTACAGAGTTTCATCACTTGCAGGGCGAATTCCTGTGCACTTCCTGAAAATCTATTAAAAGGGCAAAACTTAGGCCCTGAGGACCCCGGAGGTACCCCTGCACACAAGTCACTTTGAAAGTGTGGAGCCAGATTCTCAAGCTGCACTAGTTATCATTGCTCTGTTGTAGCCAGTGAGCTTGGGCTGATTTCCACCAGGTACAGATCCCACATCTGACTTTAAAGGATGGTACAAAAGAGAATCTCCTCTAAAGAACATTTATTTTAGAGATTTTTCATCTTCCTTTCTGTGGAATTTCCACTGAATTGAAAAACTGATGATGGGAAAGCAGCAATGAACTTCCTAACAGCATTCAGCTAGTAGCAGAGAGCTCCTTTCTGTTTCACAGGCTATATACTAAGATGTGTCTACAGGAACATTTGAAAAAGATACTTAATTGGTCTCATAACATTTTTGTCTCTCCAACTTCCATATCAAAGCTGATAAATGTTTAACTGTAAAGACTTTACCCACCACTACCACCAAAAAAAACCCAACCAAAGCCTAGCAGCCCTGAAAGGTCAGCCAGAATTCCGATATCCAAATCTTTCTTCCTTTACTTCGAGTTTCTTCCTTTCCTCCTATGCAATCAAGAACAATGTAGCCAATACAACTAGAATTTCTTTGGAATTCTTTTGTTTTGTGAGCTGGAAAAGGATTTATTTTACTCTTCAGTCCTTGTATTGATAAATACTAAAAGCTCAGTCCCAGAGGTATGATGTAAAAATTAATGTACTGTTACACCATCCTGGGCTCAGATATCTCTGCTGCCCAGTACATAGGCAGAATAGTCAGTCCATAGATGAATGAGGAATAATCCATGTGAATGCACATATAAAAAAAAATGCCTCACTATGTAAATACAAACAGCACAGGCAAGGTAGAGGGTTAGAAACTGGGAACCTTCTAAACCAAGATCACAAGCCTTAATCACCTGAACACAAGGAATTACTCTATTAGCTGTAAGCTGCGGGCTCTCAGGCTCATCATCAGCCAAGGACTAGATTGGGGCATGATTGCAGCGCTCTGCCAGAGTATTACATGTTCCCTAAGGCAAAGTTTATCCCAGCTGGCTGACAGGAGTTCAAGTCTCACGAGGAATGCCAATGTTTAATAAGTCTGTTGACACATACTTATAAAGCTGCCAGAAGTTGCCAGTGGGGATAGAGTCCCAGCTTTAAATACTGAAAGCACAAGCTTGTGCTACTTGAGCTAATGGGGTTTCTTACCGCCACAGAAGATGCTTGTATATAAATGCCCTCTGGCTACCAGTTCATTATGAGGCCATAATTAAGTAAGATAAAGATTCAAAAATAAACTTCATTTTTGCAAGCATTAATATATATTTGTTTGGCAGGAAAAGAAGGGAGTGTGAGAATTTGGCCCTCAGTATTGTAAAATGCTACCGTATTAATTGCATTCAGCAAGTAATTCAAGAACATGGAGCTCAGATTCTCCTGTATTAGATGCTTTAATGCTGCAGTGTAGCTGGAACTTTCAAGAACATGTATGTAATTATGTAGCGCCATTTATGTGCGTGGTTCTTTCCAAATGAAAATGAAATCACGGCTCCTGGTCCAAAGAACTTACTAATTGAATCCAACAGAGAATATGAAAAGGAATGACACCAGGACCCAAAAAGAAAGAAAAAATTATTTTCAGGAAAGGATTATTTGCAAAATAATCAGAGCAACTGAGCTGTTTCTTAATTTTTTTCTCTTTTAAATGAAAAAGACCTGGAGGAGGTACCAGCTCCAAAGCTGCAATTTTTGTTGGAGGGGGAAAACTTGAAGGAAAGATTTGAATAAAGAAAGTTCTCAGCACTTAGGAAAAAACTTTTGTCAGTCACAGTGCCCACTACAGGAGGACATGAGCAAAAAGGAAAACGTCAGCTAATCAGAAGATCAAATGCAAAGGTGATGTGTAAGGATAAAATAAAAAGCGTTTTGAGATCAGAGCACATCATTAACAGCAAATATCAGGATTTGAAATAGATGCTGGTTGTCAAAGAAGTTGCTCCAGAAGATATCTAAAGATGTGCTGTCGAAGCAATGAGAGAACAAAGTGTTACCAACTGGACTTTGGATATGCTGAAGCAATTAGCAGAGATATCAAAAGAAAGGAAATCAGAGAATGAATGTTTAGGCAGGAGGAGACGAACGCACAAACTCAAGTTTAGCAGTGTGGACAGAGCATGCGAAAAAAAAAGGTTGTGGGATTTGTAAGAGGAGAGAGAAACGGTGCAAAGAAACAGAGCTGTCAGAGATGTTTATCTCTCACATGTATGGTTAGAAGCTGGACGGATCTAGAAGCTAGTTTTAGTTAGGAACTAACACAAATCACTTGTGATCATTGTGATCCTCCAGTTCTGTATGCAGGGTACCTAATTCATGTCAGAATGCTTTACTCCAGTGAATCAGAAGTGAGAATTATGAATGTAAGTCTTACTTACGACTTCATGTTAAAAAAATTCATGGCTTTATTGGATGAGAATTTCAGAAATGTTTGTATTTGCCAAATTTTGTTCCAGCTGAAGTGGAGAGTAAAGCTCCCTTTCCTTCCCAGGGAGGAGCGAAGGCAGACCAATACTGAACACTTCAGACACTCCCACCACAATGTTTTTGCATACAAATTCTATTATCTAAATACAGCTATGAAAATTTAGGATGCTGTAGGTATTGTATCAGTACTTCATTAGTAGTATTGTCCCAAAATGTGTTATGCAAGCTACTGTTTATTGGTGTCCCTAAAACCTTTAGATGATGGTATAGTTATTATTTATGTGTTAGATAACGCAAAGAGAAAAACTTTTAAAGAACTTTTTCAGAATTTGTAAACACGTTATTGGAAGCAAAACCAGTCTGACTTGGCTGTTGTGACCCCAACTCAGCAGGACCCTGAGGAAAGATGCAGTGTTTGTTTGTATGGCCGTATATGTAAATGTCTACTAAACTCCTCCCTACACAGTAAGGGGAAAAAAAAAGGGAGAGAGGTAAACAAACATGAATTACGTACATTTTGCCTCAATTCTACTTGTTATGTATTTTGAAATAGACTATTTTACGCTGGAACTAGACTATGTAATTTAGCTGATCCTTATTTCACAGACATGAGGGTCAGCTAGCTGGAAGCCCTTTCTTGATATGGCAGCTGAGGTTTAAAATAAGGGGATGGAATCTGTTACCATAGGTCAGACTATTATGTCCATATATCCAAATTAATTTGTTCTAAAATGACCAGCATGAGGCATTTCAGCAGAAAGCCTTATTCTGTTCCCTGTGAGATGTCTAGGAAATGATGAAATTTTGTACCTAGGTAAAGGTGGGAAGTAAAACGTCTCTCCTGACCTGTATCTCCTGGCCAGTCTCAAAACATCTACTACAGAGTGAGAATAACAAGCCAGACTCAGCTGGTGTAAATTAACCCAGCTTCATTGCCTTCCCTTGGACTATGCCAGTTCACATCTGTTGAAGCATGATTTCCTTAAGGTTGATTCATGTTTTGTCTTTTATCTTTATTTTAGCTTCATACAATATCAGCGTGTTTGGCTTTGTTTTCTTTGATGAGCAAATGTGGGTAGCATATAAGAAGAAGTTACTGATGTATTTATTATTAATAGAGCCATAAAGTCCCTTTGAACATCTGAAAAAAGATGGCTTGTAGGTGTGGACTTGGGTAACACATTTTGCAAAGAGCAAGAACCATTTGTTTCTAGAGGTATCTGACAAACTAAAGCTTCCATTTTTGTTTCCATTTTACTCAGTGAATTTTTCTTCCTTTTAATCTTTTAATTCCCCCCCTCTGACACTGCAGTCTTTTCTTTTTTCCACTTAGAAATATGAAGAAATGGGCAGGTCAAAGTTGAGATCATTTGTGGGGCTTAGTCACATTGTAAGTCCCAGCATAGCCCTTTCATCTTTCATGAACACAGACTGGGTATTGTGTGAAGTTCTTGAACTGTAAGTGACTTTAAATTCACTCTAGTGGACAAGGGTGAGAAGAAGTCATTTAACTTTTAATAGACTTTCAAGGACGAATGAGCAGCTGGTTGAGATGGAATATGAAATGACCCTTACCATTTCTCCAGACTCAGAATTCAATCTTTGAGGTTTTAAATAATGTGGTTAACTTTTTTCCTCCCCCAGTTTCCATTCGTCTCTGTTTTCTCAGTTTAGATGGAAAGGGGGTGTGTGAAAAAAAGACTTAAGAGAGGCTTTTCTGGCTCTTGCTGCACTCAAAATCGTGAAAGAAATTGGCCCTTCAGGTATTTCCTGCCAGATTTCCAGAATGGAAACAATTGTTTCTGCTTTAGATGACTGATACCATGTGGAGTACAAAAAGGCTTGTGCAAATTAAGTGTAGCTCCACTGAAATTGGTGAGACCATGCCCGTGCACTGCAGCTGAGGATCTAGGCCTTGTTGTTTCAAACTGTTTGTACTTGGAATGAGATTCACATGGCATCTTATGCACTACAGTTCTCCCTGTTTGTACATGGTTGGCTTGAAGAACTGGGTTTGAGGGGGTTTTGACTGCAGCTTTTAGCCAAGCCAAATTTTTCGGTGGTCCAGCAGTTCTGATGATCTATTGATGATTCATTTGTCTAAGTTTTTGAGGTGAAGAATGAACACTTATATCGATTATAGTTTCTAGCTCCCCAGATTGCAAAACACAAAGTAATTCATTATCAGGATATATATGCGTCTCTCTCTCATTTCTCTTAGTGTCAGACTTGAAAAGACAGATACTATCCGTTGCATTAAGTCTTGTCGACCGAATGATGTCAACTGTGTGTTGGATCCAGTCCACACAATTTCCCACACTGTCATTTCACTGCCCACGTTCAGAGAATTTACAAGACCTGAAGGTAAGTGGTTTGTTCCTTGTTCCGTTTAATAGACTACAACATATAAAGCCTCCACCGGAAATCCTTGCCTAAAGCCAGACTAGCTACCGCTGCAGTAAAATGTTTGCACAGTTCCAAATTATAGTGTACTATTCATTTAATTAAAACCTTCGATATCCAGGAGTTTCAATTTTATGGGGCAAAAAGAGTCATTCTGAGCTCTAACGCATACAGCTTCCCAGTCTAAGGAAATATTGAGTCTGAATCCCCATTTACCACAAAATTCACATTTACTCACATAATAGCCGTGTGCCCCATGGCTTTTTTCTTCCTTTTTTTGCAGATTTTGCCATAGGAAGTAGGTGCTCATTATATTTCTCTCATCTGTTTATGGTCTGTTGTTCGCTATTGACAGGTGGCTTGTTCCAAGAATATAGCCTTTATCTACATGCAAACATTTATCACAAAATCCATTCTATTGAATATACTGTCTAGTACTGTGATTTGCTGATTTTTGATCTATGGAAAAAATAAGTGTTGGTTTTTAAAGATATTGAATAAAGGAAGGAAAATTCCAAGGACTGGACAGAAAGTTTTTAAGCTAAGATTTTCAAAAAGCATCGAGTGAGTGGCTGTCCAGTCATCCAAAGTGAGTTTTCCAGCCACAGATGCTGCACTCTCATGGGCACTCATGTATTTCTGTAGTTCCTTTGGCCTCTGCACTACCTGTGAGTTTTGAAGTCCTGCAGTTTCGTAAGGATTGCATTCACTTTGCGTGGTTCACATGTAAACTTGGAGATCGAGAGCCAGGTTTTGCTCCTTGGCCTTTGTATTCATTTTCTGGCAGCTTCACTGGGGACTGCGTACACATCCATAGGTGGGATGACTGCCTTCAGCCCAGCTTCTCTGTAGGACGAGCCACTCTGCGACTTACTGTGTGGCACAGACACGGAGAGAGGAGAAGGGCACGGAGGAAAGGAAGATTATTTTGGAGAGGTTTTTAAAGATCTTAAATCCCTGTTTCTGATGCACCCAGAGTCTCAGCCTTGCTATCTCAGAAATTTATCCTAAATGAAAGCCAAAGCTGGTTTTCCACTTCTGTACCAGGCAGAAGGAGTAGGGCAAGAGACGTCTCAATCCTTGTTCATAAAGGAACAATTTGAACACCAATAATTTAGCTGCACAGAGCTGCTGTAGGTTGTGTCAGGCCTGTTTCAGGCCTTGGCTGGCCCTACTTCACAGGGAATAGAGGAATGCCCCATAGCCACTTCTACTCCCATACACACCCCTTCAGCTTCACCAGGTGTACTGGCAGCAGAGCTAAGGATTTGGCCCAGGATGCTTCCCAAACCGTTCACTCATTAGTCCATCCTCATGATTTAATAAAAAGAGATGAGACCTAGCAATCTGAGAGTACTACTGAAGCCCAGCAGACGTTCCTAAACTGTAATTCAGCGCATGGCCTTGGGTGAATTCTTACAGCCCCGTGGTTTAGTTTCATCATCTGAAGAGTGAGCATAATAATGAGAATAATAATACTTACCGCCCTGACAAGAGGCTTGAAAAATAGTTTCACTTTTTTTTTTTTTAAACCTAAACCCCTCTCCAATACTCAAAAGGACTCTGTAATTTGTAATGGCAATACTCTGAGTAACTGCCTAAGGGAATCAGAGTTCAGGGGTTTATCTGTTTGGTCCCCCTCCACCGCCCACCCTGTGGATCCTCAGTGTTGTCCTCTTTGGGTAGATGCTGGAAGTCTGACTGGTTTCTGAGAGTGGTCTTTCTGGACTCTAGAAATAACAGTCTTTTGGCTTCAGGGCTTCTTGGATGGTGCAGGAGGAGAAGATAAATCTATCCAATCCTCCCTTCCCCCAGATGTTCTTTCTTTCCATTTTAAAGGACAAACTGGGGGCGGGGGGGTGTCCTTCCCCAGCTTTGCGGACAAGTCATTTTGGATCAAAGTCTGTCGCGTTCTTCAGTGTTGTTTTCAAATACTTCCCAGTGCATTCTGTGATACTCTTTATTTGCAGAGATTATTTTTCTTCGTGCCATCACACCTACATATCCGGCCAACCAGGCAGATATCATATTTGACATAACAGAAGGAAATTTAAGAGATTCCTTTGATATCATCAAGCGTTACATGGACGGTATGACAGTGGGTGAGTAGAGTGTTTTCTGCTTACTTTCTTCTCACAATAATATTGCAGAACAAGGTCAAAGAAATTAACTCAAGTAATTAATTCCCACCTTGATTTTCAAGCCTCTATTGATTTAATATTCTCCAGTCCAATATGTGTAATTTGAACTAATATCACAGATTTTTTTTTTATTCAAAATACCAGAGGCCTAAACTTTAATTTGAGAAGTATTTTAACTTTTTTTTCAGAACTGGCTGTAATTACAAATGCTAATGGCTTAGCTTTAAAACGATGAGGTTTGCCTACTATAATCAAACCAAATATAAAATATGTAGTATGTCTGCAAAGAGACTGTAAATTTAATTAACTGTTCTTTCTTGTTTAAACAGCATTGCACCAATTTTTGGATAATAATCAAATTTTTAAAGCAGGACTGAATTTACTGAAACTGTTACCTGTTTTAATATTTAATGACAGGCTGGTTCAGTTTTAAATAAATACCTCTGTTGAGGGTAAAAGGGATCTGTCAAATGCTGTGGTTTAGAAGAAACTTCAGAGTGGAACATACACATTTGATTTACAGTCTCAATTTGGCAGGGAGGAGACATGGCGGGAGGTATACCTGTGTATATGGGTCACGCGCTAGACCTGCATCTCATCATATAGCAGGGAGGGGCTGCAACACAACCTGGGGTCGTACTTTCTGGTAGGTTTCTTTCAGAGCAGGGCCCTTTTGGGGGATATAATGCATATCCCGTAGGTGATGTGTATAGTGTATCTAGGATATATACATACATGCATACAGATATATATTTACAGTGTATACTGTAGCTTGGCTCTCACTGTGGGACTCAACGTACCCAGGCATAGTTGGCAAACCACGTGAAAGTCGCAGAGCAGGAGCAGGTCCCTGCTGACGTGCTGCTTTGCCCAGTGTGAGGTGGTAGTGCAGTGGCAGGGGAATACGCTGTGGTCCTCATGCTTAGAGAATGAATATGCCAGGTATTAAAAAGCAGCATTTGATTGCTCTTTATTAAAGTTTATTTATGAAAATAAAGGACCCCTGTTCGCAGTGAACATTTGTGCTTCAGTATGTGAATGTGCAGGTTCTGCTCAGGTTTATACATGTGCTGCTGGGCTTTCTAGCAGGACTTGTCTGGATGAAAAGAAAAATCGCTGCTGTGCTTCTTCCGTACGGATAGGTTGTGAAAAAGTCACGTTTAGCATGGTCTGAAGGTGGCACTGTTGCATTTCAGAAGCATGAGAGTACAGCGTCAGCTGTGCAAAGGTTTTATGAACTGTAGATAAAAATCGTAAGTCATTAGGTTTATATTTCTTTATCAAACAGAAGTATACATGTGAATGCTGAGAAAGAGGGAGAGTCTGTTAAAGCAGGGTGATAAGATTAGAGATTTCAGGTATTGGGTTGATTCTTTAGAAGAGTATAAATGTTATCAGATCCCACAGTAGTTACAGTAGTTTGCTTTTCGTGCTGTGTACTTCTTTCTGTCTGAAATAAGAAAGAAGGATGTGTTTAGAAATTTGACTGGCCAAGGTATTCGCCTGAGGGAAGCATTTCCATTTTGAATAATAGGACTGCGTGTCAATGGTATTTTACTTGGTAAACTGGATATCTGCTCACAACGTTAGGAGAGAAAGGATATTCTTACACACCAGGTTGAGAGGATATGATATATGCCTAACTACATTCCCAGCTCTGCAAAAGAATTGGGCAACTCTTTCTTCACCTCAGTTCCCCCATGTGCAACATGGAGATGATAAAACATGCCTACTACTGTCTTAATTAATTCTTGTATGTAAAAGTCTTAATTAATTCCTCTGTGTAAAAGTACTTTGAGATTAATGGATGGAAGCTGCAAAGTAAACTGCCTGCAGCAGAATTGGAAAAGGAAAAACAAAACAAAACCCCAGCTGATATTACCTGGAGGGGCAGAGGTTCAGGACAGCATGTTGTATGTGTGAAATTAGGATTGCAAATAATTCTGCCAGCAGCGGTTCTGCTGCTCTCATCATAATATCGTTTTTCTTGTTATTAATAATCAGAATGTTAGGTGTTCCCATAAAAGTGCTGGGAAGTTTTCAAGACAGATGAATAAGATGGGATCCTAGTCCACAGGAGTTCACAAAGTGAGTCCCTCTTGTAAAGAAAGGGGAAGCGTTTGTATAAGGATGGAAAAAGACAAAGGGCATAGACGATATCAGAAAGATTTATCGGTTATCAGAAAGATTTATTGGCTATCCCATTAAGTTATAGGAACATAAGAACTGTGGGGATGCAACGCAGGAACTCTAGCAGAGCAAATGCCCAACTAGCCCAGTAACCAGTGTCCAGCATACGGGCCAGTAACAAACAGGTATACACGAATCTTTCTCCAAATACAATGTTCCAATTTGCTGCAATCATCAGTTTATATGCTTCTGGGAAAGCACACCTGGACCATCATTGCTTGATGATCACTGACGGACTATGCCTTTTGAATCTGTGTAGCCTATTTTTGAATCTTTTTTTGCTGCCTGTACTGTAGAGGAAAGAACGCATTTACTCTGATAATAAATCATATAGGCATGGGTAAAAGGAATAATAAGCATGTTTCATTCTGTTGTAGTATTTCAGGAGAAATGACCAGAGTATCAAAGCGATTTTATCTGCTAATGGAAATTAGATCACCAAATCTCTACAAGACAGATTTTCTCTACAAGAGAAAAGATAGAAAACCTCTACAGGAGGTTTTGTTTTTTAAAGAAAAGACATGGATTAGCTCAGAGAGAGATGAAATGCATAAAAGCATATGGAAAAAAGCAGGAAAATAGTTACTAGTGTTACTGAAAGAGCCGAGTGTAATAAACCTTGACTTGATGTCAGAGCAGAGGAAACTAATGAAGGGATTCAAAGAAAGGAGGGAGCACTGGGAAAAGAGAGGGAGAAAGGACAGATCAATCAAGATGCTCTTGCAGGAAGTCCTTCATTAGTAAAACAGTTTTTTGCTAGGTTGTCACAAACAAGAAGAGAGATGATGCCTTAAGAAGGACCTGCATCTAAACTGCGTTTGTGTGAATGGAAAGGAACAAGATGCTCTCAAAAGTGTAACACTAAAAAAAAGTGAAAAGGTACAGGTTTCTTCTGGTAATGGTTTAGAGAGTGGGAGGGGCTGTTAGAGATGGAGCTACAGAAGAAAAGTGAAGACTTGAACACTGACAGAGAATTGTGGACGGAAGAGAATCAGGTCATCAGTTTTAGCCATTAACACTTTAAGTTGACACTGAGACATCAAGGAGATGTTAGTGAAGCTGAGAAATATGTCGGATTGGATGGAGCATGGCTAATCAGGCTGGTTTGTCATTTGTTGATGGAGAGATAGCAGCTGAGGTCATAGGAGGAGATGAGAGTGTGTAGGAGCAGGTTGTGAGGAAGGAGAAAGAAGAAACTAGAAACAGGAAAGAGCTGCCCCAGGGAGTGTTAGAAAAAGAAAGAACACGGTCTCCCAAAGGAGATGTAGGAGGAGCAGCCACAAAGGTAGGAGAAGAAAGAGGCAAGGACAGTATTGCAAAATCAAGGAAAGAAAATATATCAAATGGGAATCAATGATCAGCAGTATCAGACATGGAGGAGCCAAAAGTAGTAAGAACAGACTCCAAAACTAGCTATGCTGACCTACAGACAGTATCTTCCAGTGGAAGAGAAGGAACGAAAGCCCGCCTGCTGCAGTGGCAGTGCGTAGACTTCAGGCAAGCTGAAGAAAAAGAATTGTGTAAAAAGTTCCTCCAATATTTCTACCCTATTGTATTAAAAAGAGATGCAAAATCCCATTCTTTCCTGGTTCAAGAAGTGCTGTAGGACTCTCTGTTGCCTGGTGTGGTTACAGGCCAAGGTGGCACTGAAGCCGAAAGATACTGTTAACAACTGCACATCACTTATTAGCATGGGCAGGAGAAAACCAGAAGTGCAGACCTATTCAGGTTTTTTTTTTAAAGCTTTTATAGACTTTTCACTGCATTCCTCCTTTAACCAGCTGTCAGTGAAAAATGAAGAATGCATTTTCAACCTGTACAAAAATGTCCTATCAATGCCTAAGGTATTATCAGATACTATAAAACATTTTCCCCGCAGCTATGCATTCATTTCCTTAGGTGACTGTAATACCACCTTGTAGTCTGGTAAACTTCAGGAAGATTTTAAAATTTCATAATACAGCTAAAAGTAGTTTTGATAGGCTGAAATCTTCCATATCGCATTTGATACTAACCTAAGCATATATTCTTGCCTATTAAGCAGAATGGTGCTATTCTTATCAACAGCATCCAGAGCCAATACAATTATAAAATTTCACTTGTATCTATAGAGCTTCTCAGGGGTCTTGTGCTGGTGCTTGAATACACTGATATGAATGGTTGCTTATAATTTTACGCATATGTGCTACTGCTCTCCATTGTTATTTGCAAGGATTTCACTGCTATCTCTGTCGTGAATTTCCAGCCTCTTTTACACATGTGATAGTTCATGATGTTACCTTTGAACCATTACAGAAAGTGTCTCAACTGCTGATAGCACAACACTGGATTTATTCGTAGTCTAATTTCTACTATGGTATCATGATTCTTTAGTATGTTCCAGAGGCTGGGGAGAGACTTTTAAAAAATGATCAGAAGGTAAACAAAAACAGATACCGTAAGAAAGTGTGCTTGTGGGATCCCGTATTGGCTGGGGGCAGGAGAAGGAGACTGAAGATTTATTTGACCTTCTGGGAAACCTATCCTTAGCACACAGTAGTAGTTCTGTATCTCATAAGCAGTGTAGCAAAGTCTCTTCACAGTGCGCCACGCAAATGTTTGTATGGTGTGACATTAAATTCAGAGTCACTGGATTGCAAAAGATTTGGTTCTGAACTTTGCCCCTGGACCCACTCTGCAGTGCCGGGCAAGTACCTTCACATTCCTCTCTGCTTCTCCCTTATCCTCTGTTGCTCTAGACTCTTTATCTTTGGGCCAGAGGCTGGCTGGCT